ATTGGAGGAAGCACAGGAAAATAATCACGCCCAGCTTCCACTTCAAAGTCTTGGATCAATACACCGAATACATCAATTCCAACTCAAAGATTTTAATTAGCAAACTCAAGGAGCAAATCGATAAAAAGAGCATTGACATACATCCGTTCATAAATTACTACAATCTCGACGTTATCAGCGGTAAGTTGAAAAAAATAAACAATTTGTCTTATGGCTGTGATATCATTTATTTTTCATTAACAGAAACTGCTATGAAAACCAGAATCAACGCACAAAATAACCCGAAATCCGACTACGTCGAAGCAGTGAAGAACTACCTAAGAATCTACATTTCTCGTTACTTCTCATTCTTCAAACAATATGATTTTTATTTTAAGTTAACTGAAGAATATCGTCTTCAACAGAAATACGTAAAAACTCTGAAAGATTTCACAGCTGAGGTAATTAAGAAGAGGAAGGAGGAGAGAAGAGAAGCGAAGAAAAATGATGTTAACAATAAGAAAATTGAAGAGGAAAATGATGAGGAGTTTGGTATTAAGAAGAAACACGCTTTCCTCGATATGCTTTTAGATTTGCAAGACGAATCCAATTTGTTGACGGACGAAGAGATCAGGGAAGAAGTGGATACTTTCATGTTTTCCGTAAGTTTTCATTGCTATTGTTAATGGGAATTCAGTTTATAATTCGTAATAGGGACACGACACTGTATCTTCGACAACTTGTTTCTGTCTGCTGGAGTTATCGAAGAGACCCGAAATACAAGAAAAACTCGTTGAGGAATCCTGGGATATTATGGGCGACGATAAAGACGCGAACTTGGAATTCAAGAACGTGAACGACTTGAAATACTTGGATTTGGTGGTTAAAGAAACTTTGAGGCTTAGGGCGACGGTTCCATTCATCGAGCGGGAATTGCATTCTGACGTTACTTTAGGTAAGGTCAAGGTTTACAGTTCCACTTAATTAGTTTAATTATTATTTTTTAATGATAACAATTTAGATGGCACTTTCATTCCCAAGGGCACGACGATAACCATTCTTCCTTACGCCCTCCATCATTTGGAGCAATTCTTCCCCAATCCCGAACAATTCGATCCGGACAGATTCCTTCCTGAAAACTCAGCAGGAAGACACGCGTTTTCCTACATCCCATTCAGCGCAGGACCAAGAAATTGCATAGGTAACTATCATACAAATAAACTACTTACTACTAATTATATAATTCGCAGGTCAAAAGTACGCTTTGTTATCGGTGAAAGCAGCTGTGATAAAGATCCTGCGAAACTTTGAAATTTTACCGGCAGAACCAAAGTTCGAGCCGATTCTTGGAAACACCGCAGTTTTGGAATCAATGAACGGAATACATGTACAACTTAAGTTAAGAGAGTAACAAATTTTCATATATTTATTTATGAATATACGAAAATGAACAAACAAATGTGTAAATAAGATGACTGATAGTAGTATATAAATAGAATACATATTAAATGAACAAAACATAAACAAGTCTATTTGTTATCCCAACAGCACAAACAATTATTTAATTAGACGTAATTTATTGTGTGTTTATTATGTTTGTAATATCTGAAGTGCATATTTATG